GGCTCTGAGGCCAAGGACATCAGTGGTTGGCAGACGTACCAGATCATGTACTTTCTGGACATCTTGTCTCGTAACTCCCCACTGCCTGATGGGTGCATGCAGAAGCTGGCTGCCACTTACCCCCAACTGGCCAAGTCACAGAATGCTGAGGTCACTACCGGTTATCTAGTTTTTGTCTCTCTTAAATTTGGGGGTCACGGGTTTATGCTTGATTGCATATGAGGAGTCCACTGGAAATGCGGGAATAGTCACAAACTGAAAATCGTGAAGGTATCAATTTTGAACTCATTATTATTGTTGTTAGATTACCCATTCAACAAACATAACAATAAGCCACCAATCAAACAAATATGAAGGTATGAGTCCACAAGCTTTTAAAATTGACACCCTCACCATTTCCTGCTTGTGACTCTGCCCATTTTTCCCATGGTCTCCCATAATTATGTGTCATGGCGAGGTGGAATCGGGTGCTCATCAGTTTTTTGGCATATGGAGATATTTTGTATGATCATAAAGCCCAATCATTTGTCCCTCTTTTGATAAAAAAATACCTTTCTTTCTTAAATTAACGTCAAGATATTTTCTAGTGAAGGAGGTGAGGGTCGCCTGGTGTGAGAGGTAAAATAAGCGAGAAAATGGTTCTCCGAAGTTTGGTTGCTTCCAAAGCTTCAAGAGTGTCCTTGGAAACTGTAAATTTACATTTTGTTGTGTGCCTTTAATCAATATTTTTCAGTAAACTCCAGGATGGTATGTCGTGTCAAATAGACATGACAGGTGTTGAGCCCAAATCAAATAGATCAATAAGATTTGCCCAACAGGTGGAAAAATGTCGGGGTTTTTTCAGTTTCATTATTTCGAAGAGTGCCTGATTTCACCACAATTCCACAAATAGGATTGTAAATGTTTGACAGCGTCAACAACACAACTTGATAATTATTTTTTTTAAAACAGCTTTTATAAAGCATGCACTAATCCTCGCTCAACAGCTATCTCTGTGCGCTCAGGTAATTTAGATCATTTATGAGGTTAGATGCCCTCCCTCGACCCCACCTGTCAGTGCTGACACAGCTACCACTGATGCAGTGTCCTCTCAGAAAGACAAAGGTGCAAGATAAAATGGATGTGTGTTGGAGAAGAGCCTAACAATTGTAGCACAGATGCTGGTAGAGTTTCTGCATTAGCAATGTAACATGGATATATCAGATTTAGATTTGCACGGACATGATTTATTGGTTCAGTTTTGTTTCTGCTTCTATTCATGAAAATGTCACTTTGAAAGAGGAGCTCTAATTTTGACCTTTTCATGAAAGATATGTGAGGCATCATGGTGAAATCAGGCCCTCGTCAATATAATGAAATCGAAGAAACTGGCATTTTTCTGTCCGTTTGACAATTTTTATCGAATTTTGGTTTTTTTACTCTTTAAGTTCCATTTAAAAACGCATTTCTGTGTGGATTTTACTGAAAACTGTTGATTTAAGGCACAAAAGTGTAAATTTGCAGTTTCTAAGGACTCTCAGACTTTGGAAGTCACCAAACTTTGGCAGCCATTTTCTCCCTAATTTTACCTCTGAAACCAGGCGACCTCCCTCCTCCTTCAATCACAAATATGTTGACTTCTATTCATTATACATGAGTATTTTTTTTTCTTAAAAGCAAGACAAATGAACAAGCTTTAAAATGATACCAATAACTCCACAAGTCCAAAAATTGACAAGCGCCTGATTCCACACCGCATCGTGACACATATGGATTAGGATCCAAGTTTAGCCCCAATATTTATATTTTTCCTGAAATTTATGTTTTTGTCTGCTCAAAGTTCTGACAGGAAACCTTGTAATCAGAGTTAGGAATACCCATATTTTGTGTTGCAGGAGTAGAGCTAATCACAACTTAACCCAATCCCATTTAGACTCCACAAACGGTATTTTAAGCTTCACTTGTCTGGATTCTTGTTTAAGCCGTAATGTATGCATAAATTGTCTTTTGAAGTAGCAGGAGATTTATTAATGACCAACATATTCATAACTTGCAGATCACCCTCAGATGGTGTGAGATTGTCATCAAGAACGACGCTAGTGAACATTTTGACAATGTCCGCAACTTCCTCAAGAGTCAGGGTATGTGCTTCATAGTTGTTCTCTTCTGTTTACCCTGTGTGATTAATTCTTGTTACTAAAACTAAACTAAAACTCAAATGATTTATAGTTATTTAGATCTGAGAGGTCTGATCTCTGATTTAATAATGTCTCTCTCTGTGATAGGAACGAGCCAATTTTTCAGAGACCAGGAAAACTTCCTGAACAAGTCATCTTTAAAAAAAAAATTTTAATGACCGTTTACGGAGTTCAGACAGGGTTGTTTGCATCATTTAAATTCAGGTGTTGATCAGTTGTTGTATGCAATGGTGCAGAGACCTGTGTAAGCAACAGAACTGCTGCAACTTAACAGCGCTGGATTGTGGACTTTTTGGTTGGCGGGAAAATACCATACCTGTTGAGCTGCTTAGCCCCCTAAATCAGAAGAACATCCTTGCATGCTATAGAATTATAAAGAAACTAGATACATGGTTAGAGAATAGCACATTTCTTTTTGTTTTCTCTCTCTATATATGAACTTTCATTCATGCCCGCATTTCTAACTCTGAAGCACACACTCATCCACTCAAAAATAACCTGGCCCTTTTCCCTGTCTGCCTGTCTGTCTGTCTGTCTGTCTGTCTGTCTGTCTGTCTGTCTGTCTGTCTGTCTG